CTTTGACCTTGAGCACAAAAAACAATATTCTCTGGATCTGGAGAAACAATGGACCACTCAGGCCACTCAGACTGTGGTACCGAATTCATCTTTGCCTTATTGTTTTTCTTGTTTTCTTTAATCCATTCAGAAGTCACATTAACACAGAGCTAATCATAGGTTTGCTGAGCAAAATGACCAATTTTCTTCATGAAATCATCAAATCCTTACAAAGCATTGCATAAACCTAAAGTAAACTCTTCTATCAAACAATACAACTTGCAATCAAGGCAGCGGGTCCCCAGGAGCAGCACCGCTTCACACCGTTATTCAGGAGACTCTCGTATTTTTTCTGTGAGATCAGTGTTCACAATCTGAAAATGCAAACAAATGCACCGATGAAGCACTAACATGTTAGTAAGAGAGGAGACATATGCTAAAAGCTTTCAGTGGAGATCAAGTGGAACCCAGTTTGGTTAAATGCATTTTAGCACACATTGAATGTTAAATATTCTCTCTCTTCTAGATTCACCTTCACAGTAGTTCTCCAACAGCTCATCTGACACTTAGCCTTTCCAGTATTCTACAGTGGTTTTCAACGCGTTATAAAAAGTTGTGTAGTAACTGTTTCGAAACTCTGAACAGACTAGTGTTCAATCAGAGAAGAAAGACTTAAATGATCGCGATAAAATAGACTACAGCCCGATTCTCGGTTTCACTCAGCATAAAAGTCCAAGACTAAGCCAGTGAGTGACCCCTGTTTAACTAAGATGGTGTGTAGAGTCTGGAGCAGATCACATTACTCTGCCCCTCTTTCACTCTCATTCCTGGAAGAGCCAGTGAGAGGAAAAAATGCCAACAACAGGAGAAACTGAGCCAGCACGTCTTTTAGAGAAACAGGTCTAGGTCAAGGCAAGAGCATCCCATGTGTAGGAGTGTAAGGATACTCATTTTTTAAACTTCAATGTGATTTCTGATTCTGAGGTCAAAGATTTGAATTCGATATATGATGTTTCAAGTGTTAAAGCATCTTAATTCTGCTGAGCTCTGGTTATAAACCCCACAGATGGACTACAAATATTTCAAAACAAAAGCCTGCAAAGTATCACATCCTTTTGCGAAACAGTGAGCTATAAACCATATAACATCTGAACCGCCTCATATAAAACCTTGTACAGCACGTTGAAATATCAGGCCACAAAAGAACAATTAAAATATGTGCTAAATGTACACATGAGTCTGACATGAAACATTAACTATAAGCTATTGTTTTTCTTTTTTCCATGTTTCACTGTTTCCTACACTTCAGATACTGATAGCTTGTTTCTAATTTTGATATTTTTAGATTTAACCTTGTTAAATTTTGGAAATTTCAAGACTTGTGAGTCCATCCATCACGTCAACCTTTTCTTGAGAGTTGTGAACAGTCTTGATTGGTGGATTAACAGTATATCATCACCATCCTAACAGAACCTCTGTAACTTTTCAGGAGAAGGAAAAAAAACACTGGTCCAAAAACTTTTATTCTATGTTAATGTAACAAAAGTCATTTTTGGCCCATTTCCGTTGATCCATTCATCATAGTGTAAATGGCAGCTGGTGTTTTCAAATGACGCACAACATTAAAACTTAAAAAATGCTAAATAAATGTAGATTTTGTCATGACAGTGATGATGTACTGAGTATGTTTGGACGTCAAAACGGCCATTAGCCACAATCTGCCTTTATAATCTCTAATTTAATGCATGCTCTACTGTGAGCAATTTTAATGAGTAGCCTCTGTCATTTCAATTACACACTGACCTAGACACATTCCAGCTGAGCGAGCGGGTCTAAAACAATCACTTTGCAGTTTAATGTCCTGCAGGGGCTGCTGCTAATAGACAGGGTTGGGCACAATACTTCGAAAAGTAGTGATGACTGAGTACACTGTCCTGTTTGTATTCGGTAATGTGTGCTGTTCCTGTACATAAAAAAGTAACATACTCATTGTTACTTGTTGGCAGTTTTCTGTCATATAATTATACTGTTAATATGTTTCATAAAAAAATGCAGAGCTCAGTAACACTGAGATTAATAACTGATAATTAAACTCATTTATCAGTCTACTCAGGCTTTAGTAGAGCTCAGTAACACTGAGATTAATAACGGATCATCACATTGATTTATCAGTCTACTCAGGCTTTAGTAGAGCTCAGTAACACTGAGATTAATAACGGATCATCACATTGATTTATCAGTCTACTCAGGCTTTAGCAGAGCTCAGTAACACTGAGATTAATAACTAATCACATTGATTTATCAGTCTACTCAGGCTTTAGCAGGAACTTTGGTGTTTGTAAAGAAGCTGTTAACTGAGATCCCTGGTAGAATTTGTCTAGCTAACATGCTGAATGCCATTTGCTGATTTTAAAACAGTTATCAAACATACATTGATGGTGTTTCTTTTGAATATTGTAGTAGTATTGTTTTTTTATTTAATAGTTAATTTTATGTTTTTTTTATTTAAATGCAAAAAGTAACTGTATTCTGAATACTGCATTTACAAAATGTAACTGAATATTTAATTTCTGTAGTCCGAATATGTATTCCTGAAACTTCCATTATATTGCTGGCAAAAAAAGGCTCGATTAGGCTTGAAGATGAGTAGAAAGATATTAGTCAGAGATTTTCCGGGTTTTTCTCATGAAGCAGACATAACAGCTGTTAGCAAAACTGTAGCTTCCAGGTCAGAAAAGTATGAGTCAGAGGTTAAACTGAGATTTGCTGAGATTTTCTCAAGCAGCAGACATAACACACTTATTAAACATTAATCCAAAGATAATTGCATGGCTTGGAGAGTTTGGATTTCCAGTGAAACTGGAAAATGGAAATTACTGTTTAGAAAATATGGCCTATGCACATTTTATATTTTATTTTTTATAATAACATGTTGAAAAGAGAAGTTGTGCACTAACATGAGCAGAAAAATGCCATATTTAAGTGTGTTCTCTGTGGAGGATGTGTTAACTTATTTTCACTTAGAAAATTAACAAAACATGTCATTTGGCCAGGGAGGTATAGTTTTTGTGAACTATAATAACTCTGACTGTACGTAAGTGACTGTACTCCATCCATTTTACACTGTGAAAAGGCAGTATTAAATAAGGAACACCATTGTTTCAGAGGACAGAATTAAAGGTGGTATGGTAGAATATCAAAAGCAGATTGAGTGAGGGAGTGCTACTTTTCCACTGTTCAAAATTGCTTGTTTTTTAAAAACATTTAGCTAGTTCAGGTCATGGTTGTTATTCATCCAGTTGAAAGTGATGAAATTTGTTTCCTACAAGCTTTAAGCCTGTCCCACTGCTTTATTCTCAGTGGCGACTGAAGCAGGTGAGAGCAAAGAAAAAGGTTGAGAATTTTGAAGACACGTTTAAATGATAAGCACATTTTGAAACATTAACAGAAGAATCAGAAGGAGAAAGATGACAAACAGCAGAAGTGAGGAACTGTGGCCATGGTCTAAATAAATTCTAAATACCTTTTGGTACAGTTGATCCCTGTTAAATAACACTGACATAAGCATGTCATGGCAGAAGTTAAATGCTGTAATTTAGTGCGCTAAGAGACTTTGTTCAGTAATATAACGTTTCCATTAGTTAATTGTCATGAGACCTTATGTCACACGTTAAGTGTACTCTAGTTATGAAATTAACATTATAATATTTTTCAAGAAAATTAGCAATAATGGCACCATGACACTGAGTGCGTTTACATGCACTCAATAATCCAATCACAATTTCTGCAGTTATCTGATTATTCAAATGGTCATCTAAACAGCACACTCCGATTCTTATATCGGCGTAAGCTCTAAAATATGATTAGGAAATCTGATAAAGATAGATGGATTTTAGCTCAGTAATCAGATTTCTTAGTGCTTGTAAACTCTTACTCGGATTTCTTTCGGATGTCTCAGTCTGCGCATGCGTAAAAACAGAACACAGAGTTCGAGTAAAGGGTTACCCATTTTTCTATGTACCATTAAGGAATACGTTACTGAATACAGTGTATGTGGTAATCAGCCATCACTACTAGTATTCCTCCTAACTCTGAGTGTAATTTATTAAAACCGTACAATACATTCACACAATGTCATTTCCCTCAAAATCAGTTTTCTCACCAATCCTGCTTTTCCTGAAACGCTTCCCAAAAGCATTTACTATTTGGCTGTTTCCAAAACACTGTCGCCCCTTTTCATAACAATTTCATGAATTTGACAAGAACTGGGCCAGGGCAAAGCAGTTTAGACACAACAGCTGCAGTCACATGCTGCTGAGCAACTTTCATTTAAACATACACATTATACATTTTTTCTGTTTGAAAAAAAAATATTAAAAAAACAACCTAAATTTGTTGCAAATAAATAAATGAATGAATAAATAAATATGTTGCAAACTGGACATTTGTGATGTGCCTGTGGCTGGTTAAAAAGGAAAGAAAAAGGTTTGAAGGCAAACTGAGATCAGCACAAGTTGGTAGCTGCCCTTTAAATTTCACATGTATGTGCTTATAAAAAAAAAGGTTCTTCGTGGTTCTTTACAAAAGACTGGCCCTATATTGAACCATGAACACTGAGAACCATTTGCATGAATAACTGTTCTTCAAATTGATGGAGAATGTGTTGTACATGGTTCTGTACAGAATCTTTTTGAAAAGGGTTCTGGTATTGTTATGATGTCAACAGAAGAACGCTTTTTGTGCTATATAGAACCTTTTTGAAAACTGTGGCATTAATAGATCACAATAAAAATGGTCAGAGTGGACAAGTCCTGAAGAATGGTAAAGAGCTCTGATGGACAGCAAGTCTTTCTATGACAACAGTGTAAATAAGGCTCCCTGTCCCATCTGTGGAGAGCAGCACTCCTCTGGGAGAACTTATCTTCCTATCAAGGACAAACAACATGCATCTGAATGTGTGGTGCTGCTCAGCTTCCTTGAGAAAGAGACAAACTCTGCTTTCTAAATGATGTCAGGAAGAAACTGCCATTACTGCCAAAGAGAACTGTATATTTATTTTAAAAAAAGCAAACAAAACAAAACAAAACAAAAAAGCATCACATACATACACAGAGAAAATGAAAACGACCAGATTAACATACACAGTGTAAATCCTTTTGCATAAAGGTGAAGGGATTTCCAGACTGCAGTTCACTATTGAAAAATGTCAGTGCCACTTTCACAGAGACATGAAAATCAGAGAAATATGCAAACGGAAGGGGGCGCAAATCATTATCTCGCACAGGACTCGAATGTAAAACTCCACCAGCAGCAGTTTCAGCATGATTAAAAAATACAGATGCCTCTTTAAAAAAAAAGGAAAAAAGCAGAAACATAATATAAATGACACTTAAAAGCTTCACGTTCGAGGGTGAAACAGTGGTTGATGGTTTAGCAGACAATACAGCGATTATGTAGTCTGATTATCAAAAAGCAATCATAGTAATACCTCACTTGATCCCTGCTACATAACATTGACATGACTATGCCGTAAACATGAGTTGTGACTACATGAATTAGTGTCACGTTGCTATAAGTTAACGGTCAAGACAGCTAACTAGATTATACAGCAATAAACTGTCATAACAATTACTAGTATTGGTAACAACACTGAACAAAATCTGTCATATAACATCTGCCATGATATGTTTATGGCTTGGTTATGACAGTGTTAGGTAGACAGGATCAAATACAATTGTGTGAACAGTTATGACAAGCAGAACACAGCAGGATGTTGATGTATCCTTAGTGGATCCAAAATAATGAAAGGCAATGTATTGTGTAGCTGTAGCATTAGCATCAACCAAGACTACAGTACCAGGCTTCTGTGGCTCAGAATAGCTGTTGCCTCTGAGAAGCAACTTGTTGCATCTAACTTGTAGAGAAGACGGGGTAGCTCTTTATTCTGTGAGCAACATCAAATTTATGACATCTTAGTTACTAGTTCTGGAGGCGAAACGACAGATTTATTAAAGGCAAGGCTTTGTTATATTAAGTTCAGATGATAAGAGCTAATTTTGTCCAAAAGGCTTTATAACATACTGCAAGGGACTTAAACATACATCAAACCTACATTCTGTCTCACTAGCCCTTACATGACTTACTACATGAAACAATTTGGCCTATTAGTACAGTCGTATGCAAAATTACGTTTGTTTATTTTATAAATGAAAATAAGTTAACACAAGATAACAGTGCATAATTACAATACTGTTTATTTACTGAATTTAAGCTAATGGGAAAAAATAAAACAATGTGGCATGTACAAAACACATTTCTCAATATGTTAAACTCAGCAAATAAACAGATATTTTTCACTCTAAAAGTTGCAGAAAATTCAAACTTTTACATACGACTGTAACAGTTAGAAATGCATCAGGAGGCAGGGTCTCACTAGTATCCAGTGGTGTACAATGTTTTAAAAAATTACAATCATTAAAGCATGGACTAGTACAAGAACCTGAATTTAACACCTCATCAGAAATAGCTTAAGCAGCACCTAAACCATTGTGAGATTAGCTCTGAATCTATTTGACAGACTCTCAGCCAAAACACCACAGATTTCACTAAGAGCACTGCCATAATTCAAAAGCCTTTACTGTTTCAATACTAAACCTGGTCTGTAAGGTGCAATTCATTATGATTGGGACTTTAATAAACCTAATAAACTACTGAGCGCACCAAATGTGTTAAAGCCCAGTAGGAAGTGTGACTGTGTGTGGGGACAAACCCATGACTGGGTATATACTTTTACAGCCACATTCCAAGCTAAAAGACCCTCAGCATTTCAGAGCCACGTATACAGAAAGTAGTACCTCACTTTATTTGTCATATTGGTCCAACACCCATTCTATAATGACCACCCTTGTATGAAAGAACAGGGAAAAATATGTTATGACTGAGTGAGTTAGCCAGAGTGGCTCAAGGTGCAACAGATCATGTCTCTAAAAATGAAGTAAGTGAAATAAGGGCAGCCGATAGCTTCAGGATTCAAAGCACGACTTCATGATTGCCTCCCGGTCGAACTTGAAGCTGAGGAAGGACTTTGAGGAGAAAATCTGCTCGTATTCACCATAGGAAGAATCTGACTGTCCATTCGAGCCATGCACATCACTCGCTGCATCTGCGGGTGGAAAAAAGGCTCAATGTGGTTAAAGTAGAAAAAAGATTTATCAGTATGAAACTCTAACAGAAGAGAAGCACTTTAAAGTGGAATTCCACAGATTTGTCTTAATGCTTGCATAATGAAGTGGTTATGATGTAAACATCATCATTCAGAGTGGTTTAATTTGAAATGCTCTGTTCTAGAGAAACTTACCTGCTCAGAATTGTTAACAGACGTGGAGCTAGGAACCAGACGTCCAAAGCATTTAATGACTCTAAAAGCTCCCTCGCAAAGTTTTTATATGAAATGGTTATGAATAAACTGAGGCCTAAGACTTTATTTTAAGATGGCTTTGCCCTAAAATGTGTTTCTTTTTTTTAATCCAGAGGTACATTCAGGGAATTGATACAAAAGTCCCCGAGAGAACCCATTTTTTTTTTTTTAGATTTCTCCTATTTCACCATCATCAACGTTACAAATAAAAGACATGCAGGTGCACTTATCATTTTGGACAGTAAAACAAATGGCTATATTTGCATTGTAGACATGGTGACCCCTAATTCCCTCATCACCAACACTAAACAAATCAAAGTCCCATCTCTACAATGCACCATTTCATCAAATCACTCTGATTGACTTTATTTACATCCTAACCAGTGCAATATGCAGAAACTTTGAAAAGTTAGTGGAATTTCCCTTTCAGACAGAACCAATATAAATGTTGATTTGAAATACGCAATAAAAAGCATCTCCCCATGTTCTGTGATTGTCATATAAAACAATAAAACACCTGTCCCCACCAAACTGGGTCATCTCTAATGACCACACACATAAGAGGTTTGCAAAATCAATCAGAAGCCGCCTTCTGCTCCAGTATGACATTTTACTTCATGGTATGACCCGAAGTACTTAAAATACTTAGGTCAGTAAACGTTAATTAAAGTCCAAGTTCAGAAATTGTCTTTGAACCTTTCTAGTTCTGAATGATGTGCTTTATTATGTCCATCTTATCAGTCTTAACTTCAAGACATTGACAGTTATCTTAGGTAATCTTAAACCCTACCCAGCCTTTTATGATAATCCAAGTGATAAATGGGACATAGCAGATAATGCATTATCATCGTCATTATCCTACTCAGAATTACATATTAGCCACCTGGAGAGGGTTAAGTTGCCAGTATGTGTGAAACGTCAAAAGAACCAAATGAAAACAAACTACGGATAAACACTGTCAAAACAATACTTTAAAAAACTAGAAGTCTGTTTTGTGCAGCAGACAAATCACAGTCAAGCGGAGGTTTCAGAACCAATGATGCTGTGATTACAACCTGTCAAAGTCAGAGGGAGGTCTCAGAATTAACAACATGGTGGTCAGGGGTTCTGTTCAGCAAACAGCGCACAGCACACCACACAAACTCAAACCACTGCAGCATTTTGGCCAAAAGGACACTGTTTTGTACAGAGACATCATTTTTGTTTGAAGTATACTGCTGGCTTTAGAGCTTTGGCCAGAGTTCTGAAATGTACACTGACTGAAAACATAGTATACTTGTAAAGAAATCTATTGTAATCATAATTGGAGTAATAAATTCCTTAAATTGCCAACTGTTCCACAAAGGCATAAATATATTCCCAATTGACAGTCATTTTAGTCTAATTAATCAACTAAAACAAACAAACAAAAAAAACACCACACACACAACTAGTGTGTAGATGTACCTGCATCAAATTTGTCCTGTAGTCTTCTGGGCTGAAGCTTTTTCTCATCTTTCTACAAGAAAAGATGTAAAGATTACCAAAATAAATGAGGCTGGGAGGTTACAGTTCAGTATTACTGTCACAATTGGTAAACCAGGAATACATGTACCTGCTGATTACTGATCTCATTTGTCCTTTTTTTCATAATGGGGGAATCCTGGTGCTTCTTCCCATTGCCTTTCACATTGTGGTTCTGCAGAAAGATCACAAGAAGAGGTTTATTGCTGTTCCACTGCTGATCTTTCTGTGCAGATCTAGCACACTTTACATAACTAAGTAGCAACATTTAGTTGAAAATGTAAAACTAAATCATACATATTTAAATTACAGAATGTAACTGTAATACACAAATCACTTAATTACATCACAGTGACATATTACTTCACATCTACAAGTTTCACATAACACACTGACATTTACAAAATCTAAATTATTGTGGGCACAAATGCATCACTACATTGCCCTCTTCTGGTTGTCTTGCAGTACAGTCAAGATTGAGGTGTGCGAGTTTATTTTCCAGGACATGATCATCCATGTCTCTAAATTCCATACACATATCTGCTCACACTGATCGGCCATTTAATTATGTTTTTCTCAGATAAAGCTGCAGAAAAAATCCTGGACTATAGAGATTTGTGGTAGAGCTGATACAAAACTGTATTTTACCATCAGTGGCCTGATAAGTAAAATATTTACTTATCATTTCATACATACTAGAAACAACGGTATCGAGGGGTATCAGAATCAGGCTGATATCAGCAGAAAAATCTGTAGCAAACCTATCCTGACACAGTACACACTCACACTGTGTGATGTGATGTTAACTGTGTATTTCTTCATGTGGAGTAACAGAGTCTTTGAGTAGCCTACTTTTAGATGGTTATCTCGAGTGATGTGATGTGATCTGTGTTTCAATTTAAAAATAGCTCATTTTAAACCATACGATACTTGAGGTATCAATATCTTGGTCAGTAAAGATTGTGATATTTTGCCAATTATAATACATACATTACGTGTTATATGTAAACTAGTTCATTCACTGCCCATGCAGCTAAGTAAAAGAAAATACATATATTAAGGTATATAAACACTAACCTTGACTTTAAGAAAGTCTGCAAGCTCACATTGACCAGGCTGTCCAAAAGCTTTCTGTTGCTTTTGCTTTATCCAGCCATCACCTGGAGATGCCTCCAGCAACATCTGTGTGCGTCTGGGTTTGGAGCTGAAGGAAGGAAACAAGGTGAAGACAAACTGACATGCTGGCAACTTCATGACAAATCAGATGCAGATAGAAAGTGGACAAATCAGATTTGATTTTCTTTACAAGTCTTCTTTGGAAGTTTTTGTGTTCTTTAAGCATTCTTTTAGCTACCCAGACTTGTGTTTTGGAACAACCGATATTCCTGAGAAACAGACCCTGATGGAGCCAAATAGAAAATGATTTGTACTTTTGCCATATAGTGCTTTAAACAACAAATATTTATATTTAATGAAATCATTTACATGCTTTCTAGATTTTTTTCATTTTTCCATTAATATGTGTTTTTAGAATCTTTAAAATCATATACATGGTTTGTTAAGTATTTTTTTATTGTTTCCTTTTTTAAACTCTGATTACTCAATTAACTGACAAAATAACTGGTAGATTTCTCTATAGTGACAATTAACATAGCCTTGATCAATCCAAATCATTATGAATTCTCTAGTAGTGTCTGGACTCATCATCTCACCATCAACTGAAATGCGGTAGTGAGTGTGTTTTCACACCATGGGTCCATGTCTAGGATTATGACAATTAGTGAATAGGGGTACTGAGTACACTGCGATATTTTCTTACCGAAAAGGTTTGCATGGAGTGCTACCATTGGACAAAAAATCTTCATCACTGCTAGTTGATTCAAATTTATTCTTGGCGATCCATTCTCTGAGTTGTCTGTGAGAAGGAGAGTTGTACTCAGATTCATTTTGCACCAGAGTATAAGAATGAAGAACATTAAAATGGGTGAAGAGGAGAATAAAACGTCATACTTCATAAAAGGAATTGCCATGAAAAACTTGTTGGGAGCCAGACCCAGCTTGGATTTTGGCGTCATGTCATTTCTGTGACATGGCAGTTTATCAACAGAAAACCATTCAATGTTCTATTAGAAGTAACAAGAAGAAAAAGGTGTATTTACATTACATTTTTCCTAATGTCTTGAAACAACAGGATACCAGTTAGTGGGTTTTAAAAGACCTAAAATACTGTACCCTTATTTCTTTCCTGGTTTTGGGGTTAAACTTTGTGTCCTTTGGAACCCCAGGTATTATATACAGGCGAGCCAGCTGATCTGTGATTTTTTGCTCAATGTACGTATCTTTACAGATGCGGTTTCGGATGTCAAAACCAGTTTCCTCCAAAACCTACAGCAGAAGGGAGACAATAAGACGTTCCGACATCTTTAAAACATCTACGCAGCATTATCAACAAATACTGAGACAACAGATTACTCTGCTGCTTCTAAAAAGCAAATGCAAAGTGAGGCTCCTCAGTAGATCAACTTACCTCTCGTACAGCACAGTCATGGGGTGCCTCGTCCTCATTGACTTTGCCTTTAGGAAAGCCCCACCCTGATTTAGCAAGGTATCCTTGCACCAGTAATACCTACATGAAAATTGTATGGAAGGCTTTACTTTATTTTTTTATTTAACAGAGACAGCACATACTAATCAATATTGTTAATTCATGATGTAAACATGCCAGATTTAGCACTCAAGCGTAAAGGAGAATTCCACTTATTTTTCTACATTTCTGCATAATTCAGTGGTTAAGATGTAAACACAGCTATTCAGAGTAGTTTGATGTGAAATGGTTCGTTGTAAAGAAACAAAGATTTAGATTGCCTTTACAATGACAGTGAACCTGGAATCATGGTTTACAATGTCAACAAAAATATAGCCAATTTGTCAGCTATCCCGAGTTTGGATGTTCTCCCTGTGTCTGTGTGGGTTTCCTCCGGGTGCTCCGGTTTCCTCACAGTCCAAAGACATGCAGTCAGCTGAACTGGAGATGCTAAATTGCCATGAGGTGTGAATGTGTGTGTGAATGTTTATGTCTGTGTGTCTGCCCTGTGATGAACTGGTGACCTGTCCTGGGTGTTTCCTGCCTCCCACCCCACAACTCCTGTGATAGGCCTCAGCAACCCACAAGGATAAGCAGCTTAGTGTGTGCGTGTGTGTGTGTGTGTGTGTGTGTGTGTGTGTGTGTGTGTGTGTGTGTGTGTGTTTGCTCTCCGAAATGACCAGTGAACTACATGTTTCTTCTGAGTTTTTATATAAATTGTTGAAAACAGTAAAACAGTGGTAAAACTGAAAATCTTTTGGGTACTGTTTTTTCTTACAATGCCTACTGATTGCTCACCGATTGTGTATCAGAGCAGTCAGAGTACATCAAATTTAATTTTAAATATTTTATTGTTTGGGCTAGATTCTGGATGTAATCTCAATAATCAATGATACAGACTTGATTCCTCCATCAGCCAATGAAAACTGGGGTTGCAGAAGAAATAAATACAGCGATTAAATAAAGAACAATGCAGAACAGACATGCACATAGAAGCTTTTTAATGGCCTTAATTTAAGGCACACAAGTATGTGCACTTCATCTAAATATGCTTCACCTGTTGCTTTTTTACTGTGTCAGTGCAAAAGGCAGTAAAAACAGCAGGAGCAGCAAGCTGCTTCATGTTTGTTTATCTGCATCTCTGAGTAACAAGAGATTGTGTGTGTTAGCACAAGTTTAGGATGGTACTTAAAAGTTGTGTAACATGTAATCCAAAGTCATTTTGTGTGTATTCCTCAATATTTGGGATGCCAAATGAATCTGCAAAAAATCTGTCAGAAAGAAACCCAGACTTCTTATAACCTGTTAGGACTTTAAATGTTGCATGGTGTGACCAATTCGTTAAAAGCATTAAACTCCTCAGATATCTGGTTCGTACCAACACCACTGGGAACAATTCTTGGTAAGTTTCTCTAGAACTGAGCATTTCACATCAGACCACCCTGAATTAATTTGTTTACATCTTTTAATTTAATTGTGATGAAATTAAAAATGCTGTAGCTCCCCTGTAAGCAAAGACATATTTCAAGCTTAAACAAAGCATTTTTACTCACATTGTCAAGGGTTTCATCCAGAATAATTGCACCATATGTAGGAACTCCCATCTTATACTCTTTCCATTGCTCTAAAACCTTCTGAACATCCTCGCCTTGTGGAAGCAGGAATGGACAGTGATTAAAAAGTGAGCGTAAAGGTCAAGGAAATATACAACAGGTTGGGAAAAGACACAAGTGCATAACTGAAAGAATTAGAAAAAAATATGACACTACAGTCAGGATACTGAATTGACCTGATTACACAGAATACAGTTCAAATGTTGCTGAGCACAAGAGGATATCAGCCTTGGCAAAGTCCCTTATCCCACACTGAGGTAATCCTGGTGTATTCTGCATGTAGAAGTCCAGGTAAAACCAATGGGCAAGTTCAATCTGGAAGCAAACTCTGATAGCATTGTCCCTTTCTTCACTGGGGATGTGGAGGATGAAGCGACTACAGGAGAGACACATAAGCTTAGAATTATATTATAATGTGACAAAACACTTCAGAAAGAGAGTGAAACATTGCCAATATAAGGACTAAAGAAGGATGTCATTGTACATAAACAGCACAACAACATACATGCCAACAGACTCAAGTGGCATCACTAACAAATGTTGTGTTGCAGCCAGTATTTATGGCACTTTTAAGACAGCAGGATCACTACTGAGTTTACTGCTGTCAGTCACTCCTAATCATAGCAGCTTGCAGAGACCCCTGTCAAAAAAAGCTACTCTGTATGTGCCGGAGCTGAGTAGTAGTTACGTTTTTAGGCAGTTCTAAAGTAACTTTTAGACACTTATTTACATCTTTTCCTTCACTACATTGCAGGTGTTCACATTTAGTTTCTACTCACGTTCTGTATTGATGCTTTAGCATTTGGACTGCCTGTTAGTTTCAAGCTTTAAATTTTTATCTGAGAGCAAAAAAAATCCCAAAATGAGAGACAGACAGAGCCTGACAATCTTCAGTTACTATGCTGGATGGACTGATAATTTTCCCCGCAAATCTAAATAGAAGTTAGTACTTAAGATGGTTAAGGAATGTTTTAAGATCTTTTTGGTAGTGACTTTTACTCAAAGCGTTAATTCACTTAAGTAACAATCATATGGAGCTCATCTACCCACCTCTGGGATGTGCAAAAGAGTCACAAGGCTTAAAAGAGCATTGCAGCCTAAAACCAGCTTTTAATGTTATCTGTTGGGTTATGTAGCTAGCTAGTATTCTGTAGCACAGTAATGCATCCCTCGGCCTCACTGGTTTGACCGAATTCACGATTTTGTATAATTGTAGCAATTTCCTTTCACTACAATACCCAGCATGCACTGTGCATATACAACAACCTAAGAGCCCGTCCTCATGTGTGCCCCCGACAAACCGCTTGCAGCTTTTTAAAAGTTCCCCCACCTTCAAGATGCATCATCTGGAGTGGGTTTTTCTGGTCTTTAAACAAAAAATAGTTTACAACAGATGTAGCAATAGTTATATGTTTCATTTTGTCTGTAGTGCCCCTTTAACGATCAGCTACCACCAGCAGGAGTTATTTCACAAAGTCGGACAGTCTATGCAACATTAGCCAGAACACTGTTTTGTCCCTTTCCTGCTGAAACATTCTGGGGCAGATGTCCGGTTTGTTCTCAGGTGTACAATCTTAGAGAAATACCCGCACAGGCATGTCCGAAAAATACATAGTAAACTGGCGAGTTGGCTAGGTGAGCTAGCTAGCTGTGTAAGGGCTAGTTTGGACGGTAAACTGGCGCCAGAATGTAAATGCAGCTCCGTTTAAGGTGGAACTGGAAAATTCGAATAAGCAGCTGGAGAACAAGACGCCGACTTCAGCCTGGCTTCACTAGACTAACTAACTACACGTTACCTGCAAAGGTCGTCCAATACGCCGTTGGGAATCTCCCCTCGTTTTGTCTCCATGTTAAGGGCAAAAACATCCCGAACTAACAGAACTAGTTGGGCGAAAACAAAACAGCGCAAAGCTACCACGCTTGCTCAGCTCGCATCGAAAGATGCGTGACAAAGAGACATCGCCCTGCCCCGATAAACATTAGGCTCCAAAATACCGAGGCTTAGGTTAGCTAACTAGCTTTAGCGGGACTTTATGAAAATATTGCGAAGAAGCTGGGCCTAACAGAGATTGGACCAATAGCGTGTTGCAGAACTCTTAGCAAAAGCGCTTTCATCCAATCAGTGTACTTCATTTATGACGGACACGGATCAGCAACCAATCACGTTTGTTTTTCAGGGGACCTTACTTCCTCTCTCAGGTCGACATGACCGGGGAGCAAAAGCAACGAACACAAGAGACGAAACTCCCGTGCTTTTTTAACAACCGCCGCTAGATGGTGCTGCGGTAGCGCTGCCGCCATTTTGGACTGAAAACACCAAAGGAAACAGCACATAACCTACAGACATTCATGTCCTACACAGATTTATTCCTATAAATGAGATGATGGTTTGTTCCTAAACTATGATACTTCATAAAGGTACTTCAAGTAGAATAAATGAGGTTATGAAACTATTAACCTTACTGGGCGAATCTCACACACACAGATGCAGAGTCATGACATTGGTTCCCAGTTTTAGGCCGTTGTGCAATGACCTGATTTTTTTCCTTATTACAAATGCAACAGAACAAAATTAAGTAACATAGATCATATCCGTGTCTGACAAAGATACCGGTCAAACATATTATTAGTTACTTGATAATTTTTCTTACTTTTTAAAATTATGTATCTTTTTCTTATTTTATTTGTTTTTTTGTTTTTTTTTTCAATTTTGTTACTTTGTTATTTAGGTGTGGACGTATGTATTGTCCTTTATTAGGTTCAGTATACGTCTGTATGTTTAATTCTTCCAAGATGCAGTTGGAGCTGTACATTTATCCTGTACATGATTGTTTAAAATAAATAAAAAAAAATAATAAACAATAATAAAAAAGATGAGGTCTGCTCTGAGTTTGAGTGTGAATACCGGGCTGTGGCTACTGGATAGATGTTTAACAATTCAGAGAAGACCAACTGTGAACAAGACCTTGACAGATTTTGCTGCAGTTTAGCACAAATGCCTCCCAGGAGAGCGCCCAGGTCATCACTGATGCAGAGCAGATCTCCGTTGAACATTGCTATACCTCCCAGGATAGTCCCAGGAACACCTTCAATACTGAGAAGATTATGGATGAACAGAGCTATGCTAGAGTGACAACTGACTGTGGAGTAGCTGAGATAGGCACCATGCGGGTAAATGCAGATCCAGCAGTCACTCGTAATACAGGAGGAGCCAGGTGGAGGAGCAAATGGACTATTCAATAGACAGTCAGTCAGTCAGTCACACACACACACATTATCTATGCTGCTTATCTTCCTGGGCCGTGGTGGTGCTGGAGCCTATTCCAGCAGTCGTTGGGTGGAAGGCAAGAAACATCCTGGACAAGCCGACAGTCCATCACAGACTCTGGTTAACAGACTATAAAATATATACTTACATACAACAAAAAAAAAGCAACCTGTAAAATATACTGTACATACCACAGCATTTAATTAACATCTTAATTTTAATGAAATGATAAATATTTAAATAATAAGTACTGAAATTAAATTTATATAGCACTAAATCACAAATCAAATCAGTCATCTCAGGACACTTTTCACAGTGCAATTATTAATTATTTTATTTAATTTAATAATTAATTATTAAATAGAAAACTCTATTGATTCCCTTTGAGCAAGCACTTGGTGACAGAGCCAGTCATCTTATTATCATCATAATACGTTTAATTTTTTGTGGCATATTTCATTGGGTAGAGCTCATGGATAATATTTGTATGTTTTTTTTGTTTGTTTTTTCCAGAACAGTGATGCTGGGCTGGTGTCTGACCTCCCTGAGGGAGTCCTACCTAAATGCATCCCAGACCTGCTGAGTGAGATGACGGCACCAGTTTCAGCAACATCTACCTTTGACCTTGATGGAAGTGTACTTGTTTACATGGCTGGATATATGAGCAGTAAACTTGTGGGGACATTTGCAGGCAGTAAAGATGGTCCGTGTAAGGAGTGTAAAATCTTGACCACAGATATCCCGGCTGATTCATGATACACATTCCTCGAGGACAAATAGTACACTGACCTCAACTTAGGAGAGAAGGACCTTAAAATGTCCAGCCTGGCACTGGTGGATTTATTCATAGCCCTGGAGACTAACTTCCGAAAAAAGATCAGCTCAATTATCCACATAGTTGGCCTGGGAAGGAAGCTATTTACTAGTAGCATGGAGATTGTGAGTGAGTGCAGGGGGAATGTGGGACATAGAGAGCTACGAAAAGTCAGTCATTTACATGGTTAAACTGTTCATACGGATCAGAATTCATCACATCTTGTGCACTCAAAATCGGTGAATCTTACAGCCAAACCAGAAGCGCAATAAGATTTTTTAAAAAATAACTCATATGCAGTATATATTGTATGAGTAGCACTAATGTTTCTGTGTAAGTTCAATTTTTGTAAGAGATTCAGGTGTTAAAATGTTTAATAAGATCACTGACTATGAAAACAAAGTCAACATTTGATGTTGAAGAGTTTGTCTTTGTTTAAAGACCATATCATGTGTTATAATACAGTTTATAGCACAATATCCAAGTGCTTGTGCTTCTGGATAGCATTGATATTATAATTATATAATGACAAATCTGGATCTCACTGTTTCCTGACCTAATATGGGAAGATACTTGGCTTGTACTCAGTTGATATTGTATTACGAATAAAACCAAAGAGGTCATTTTTAAAATTATACATAGAATTTATCATGCTAAAGTTACTTTGGAGAGATTCAGATTAAATATAGATTAGCTGTTAATTTTGCAATGCAGAAAGGGAAACTATTGAGCATATCTTCTTAAATGTCCCATTGTATCTTTGTTCTGCCATGAGACAGTTCAATTCCTAAATGTAAGGCTTAAAAAGAATTTGTTTTTGGGTATGTCAGATGTGTTACTACATTTTCATAGAAATAACCCTAAAATGAAAGTTACATAACTGACACTAGGTAAATATCACAGTCATGAAACGATGTGGTGTTAATTTAATCCATGTTTTAGTGTTTTCATAACAGCCTTTCTGATTTATGTTGATTATATTAAGTTTTCCATGAGCAAGAAAGTTAAAAAGACGATGTACTTGTTGGATGGATTTGTAATTATCTCTGTGTAATGGCCTCTGTGTATAGTTTTGTATGTGTATTAGATTTAACTGAGAATGTTAGATAGAACTGTACGAATGAGTCTCTAAATGCAGATTAAGAGGCCCAATAAAAGTCCCCTTCAGTCCAAAATGGCGGCGGCTCAGCTCCGTTGCTGCGCGCTGACGTTGCCATGGAGCGACCAATCAGCTCTCACTTCTTACCAACGCGACTTCTTTGATAAAAGGGAAACCAAGATGGATGATAAGATATCATATCACTATAAGAGCTCTCTCTTAATTTGAAAGCATAAATATTAAACTGATGTACATACTGGTTGATGCTCACGTGTTTTAGACATGTAGATGTATTTTTGACACTACAGCGTTTCCCAATCAAAGGGGAACTCCACCGATTTTTAAAAAAAATCTACATATTTAAACGGTTGAGTTGTAAACACATTCTGAGTGGTTTGCTGTGAAACGCTCAGCTCCAGAGAAACTTGCTGAGTCAGAACTCTTCACAGCGGGGGTGAAAGGAACTAGACGTCTGAAGAGTTTAATGCCTCTGAAAGCTCCGTCATAGACGTGAAATGGTTACAGATGCATGGCCTGACGACACATTGATTTGTGATAAAGTTTTGGCGCGAAGTGTATTTTAATCCATTTATTTTTATCCATGATTATGGTGGTGGAGGGGTACAAGCACGGTGTCGTAAGGCAAAGCATAGCCAAAGAAGACTTTTTCTGATTTATGACTCTTTTACCATCATTAACATGACATATAAAAACTTAGAAGACGTAGTTTTTTTTTAACATTTTGTACATAAAATGGCTATTTGTGCTGTAGACATGGTGACTCCTGGTTCCTATCACTACCACTGTAAAGAAACCAGAGTCTCTGCAATCAACCACTTCACATCAAACCACTCTGTTTACATCTCAAGGACTGAATTATTCAGAAATTTTGAGATGTTGGTGGAATTTCCCTTTAAGGCATTAGTAGTGCAGTTCACCTCGTGTAGCAGTAATCTAGTTAGGCGTGAGCAGTAGGAGTCCGAGTGTGCGGCGGTGGGTAAATATTGATTAGGGAAGGGTGTGGCTGCGCGAGAGACCCGCTGCCATGACGTCAGATTCAGCCAGTCTGAGGAGGCATCAGCTCTACAGTAGGAGGAGAGACTGTCTGACTGACTGCAGCTCATGAAGTTAACTTGACTGCCGAACAAAGCCGACACGTACGATTAAACATGGCTCAGGGTCTAAAAGATAGATTCGAGAAGTTCCTGTACGAGAAAAATCTCCTGACCGACGTTTTGGCGAAGATAGAGGCCAAAACAGGAGTGAAGCGAACATACATCGCCATCGGTGAGCTAAGTTCCTGCTGTTGGCTTCCTAATCGCCAGATTCATGTTCGAATTTTCCCGTTCCACCTTAAATGGTGCAGCAGTTATTATAACGGGTGAGGCACCAGAATGTAACTGCCGCAGCATTTAAGGTGGAACGGGAAAATCTGCCAAGAAGCTGGCGAATAGGGCGCCAACTTCAGCCTCGGTTTTTTTTGGGGGAAGCATCTGTTTCTGTCTAAGTGCTTTTGGCGGAGAAGCAGTCTTTAGTGTGGTTGTTCTCTTTGGGACACAGTGAAGTGACCCGAGCTGTGTTGTTGTGGTGGTGGTGTTAGAGTCTGGCCTTGTGTTGTGTTGGAGATGCTTTAAGCTGCGTTTGTGTTGCAGCTGTCATCGCTCTGATTGCCGTTTACCTCGTGGTGGGTTATGGCGCTTCCCTGTTGTGCAACCTCATCGGATTCGTCTACCCTGCGTACATATCGTGAGTACCGATCTTTTGCTTACTTTTCGTGTCGACTGTGACGATGGAAAAATCACCTCCCGCTGAAATATGAGCCCTTACTGCCATGCGCGTCACCCACCCAAACGAGGCTCGAGT